TGGCGGCAGAAATTTAACAGCAGCAGGCCGCCGCTCCAAAATCAACATAGAGGAAACACTGGTTCAGTTAAACCACAACGTTGTCGCTATATGTAGATCATCATGACACAAATGGAAACTTTGGTGTTCAGCTCAGCAGCCAGTAGCAGTTGTCATCAGATCAGGTGGTGGATTGAATTGAATTGAACTTCAAATAGTTAAGACTTAAGCTGTCAACACACAGCTAGTGATCCAGTGACAAGCCACCATACAATAATCTTCAATTCACAGCACACCAGCTGTTAGCCTGCTCCCAAACAGCACCATCTACCGTATCCAGTTACCAATAATGCTAGTGTCAACACTATCCGAGGCACCGACTTTGGTCTCAGAGAATACTGTGCTAAATATGTCCACAAGTCTTCCCCAGTATATTCCCCAAATCATTCAACAAAGGCCCGTGTCTTCAGGTCATATGTTCAGCTACAAGTTTTGCTTCATGCACACTTAAACAACCCAGACGGCACTGTGCCATCAGTGAGCGCCAGAGGAGCTCATCAGCCTGGGAGCACTTGGCAGTAAATGTGCATGATTAGGCTGTCTGTCATTACAGGAGTCTGCATATCCCCATAGTGAGATACTTAACAAATGCTTGGTACAGAACTTTAAGAATCTTTTTATCCATTTGGCACGAGCAGTAGTTGTCTTTTCCCTTTGCCCAGTTACAGTCTGTTCAGTCTTAACATATGTAAAAACATGTTCAGTTAAGTTTGGGTTGATGTCAGTGTAGAACCTGAAAACTTTAATTTGCTGACTAAGTAGTGTTTTAAACAACAAATCTATCTTTTACTACAGAACCTACTCTTAAATAAAGTCGTGGTAACACAAAACAATGGAAAATAAAGACTAAATATGACTACAGATGGCTATTGAAGATTTTATTGATACCAATGCCACTGTCGATTCTCCGGTCCGATTCTTTATCGATGTGGGCGGAAAAATGCGCCTACACAGGTTTTCGGTGTCAATGCAACAGTTTTATTATCTCTTGAACAAAGTGTAGAAACAGAGTAGAAAGAAACATTCATGTGATTCAGGCGTGTAAAAACTCTGTGTTTAATTTGGAACCGGTTCTAAAGTGGTACTGTGAGGCGCCAGTGTTGTTCTAACAAAGGATGTTTAAGCTCAGTAACAGACGCGCTGCTCGATTGGGAAGCAGTGACGTCAAATACGCGACATTCCTGGAAGTTAATCCCATTTTCCAAATCTGCTTCACTCTTCACTCTTCACTCTCCCTCCCTTTTGTCTCTCCCCCTCCTCCCTCTCCTAGGTGTTATACCACCTGTTTGAGGAGTATGCAGGTGTTGGCTCAGTGACGGTGATGGATGTTGTCCTGGGAATCATCTCCTTTCTGGTGGTTGCGGTGGGTGGCGTGCTAGTGGGAGCCATCTACGGGATCCTGGCCGCTTTCACCTCACGCTTCACCTCCCACACCCGTGTCATCGAACCACTTTTTGTCTTTGTGTACAGCTACATGGCCTACCTGTCAGCTGAGATGTTCCACCTCTCTGGCATCATGTCGTAAGTTTGGGGGGGTTGTTATATAGACTGAACATTAGCATGTTAAAGATTTCTACTCTTCGGATTCGGTGGAAATGCGTACAGGAATGCACAAAAGGGACTTCATCAATGGAGTGGCTGGTAAAACTGACCACTTCCTAGCCATTTGGCTGGTGCACAAATAAGTTAATTTTGCACCCGCCTGCTAAACATGAGCATGTTAACACTGTCATTGTGAGCATGTTAGTATGGGAGTGTTGGTATTTAGCACATAGCACAGCCTCACGGAGCTGCTAATGTGGCTGTAGACTCTGAGGAGCGAATTCACACTGAACTGTACTTCTTTTACAGCTGCTAAACCTGCATAAATACAACCAAAAGAAAACGTATTTTAGTTGAGTAGTATGTCAGTTTGGTGCAAAATTGGCCCCTTTCTATTCAAATGAGCCTCATACAAATCAATTCATTCTCAGTCCAATTCACAAACACCAGCACCAATAGCCACACGCAGTAAGCTGGAAATTATCACCACAGTAGGCTACATTATATGCGCACAGATGAACACACTGGTTACTCGCTGGAGAGAAGACAAATCTCCATGTGCCTAGAGGCGTGAGGGAGAGCACAGAGTCAAGAATCACTCTGAGAAAACACTCCAAGAGTGAGTCTGAACAATGAGAAACATCTGCAGATAGAAACAAATGAAAGAGTAGAGGGAGTTAATACATCATTAGAATAGTTATAATTCTAATAAGAATAAGTTCTCTTTCAAATCAGATGTTTTAAGATATGAGTGGAGTGAGTCATTTCTAACATGTTTTGACTCAGACCTGGCTTACCCATGTCATGTGATGATACTTCAGTACAGTCTAAGAACAAATGTTACTGGGTCCACTACTGCTCCACATTTATGAGATGCAAAATAAGGGCAAATTGGATTCAGGAGCAAAAGGTTATGGGCGTGTTTGCTCTGTAATATTATTAGCGCAGTATCTTTTGTGAATCTGACCTTGGGCAGATAGCTGTTGCAAGTGATGTGCAATTCAAGGCGCTTTCAGAGGCCACAATCCATTCTTTGTGAATTTACCCTCAATCAAATGCACCTATGTTTAACATTTAAAACAAACATTCCCTAATTTTCTATAAAAATGGTGAATCATGTCAGAACAAAGACCATGTATCTAGACTGGTCCACCCTGTTAGCGACTTCATACAAGTTCAGCATTTACAAATTGAGTATCTAGTGTTTTATGTCTGCTCTCTGACATCTGTAAAATTCTCCTGCTTTTTCAAGGACATCCCTCTTCAACAACTTTTTCACTGCAGGGAAAATGTATTTCTGTCATTCCCCTATGACAGTAACTCAACTGCAGCTTACACTCCGTATAACCAGTGGTATAATGAATTAAACTGGTCTAACAGCACCTAAAACAAGCCAGAATTTACTGGCATCCCAGCATTCCCTGAGGTGTCGTTTCTCATCAGCTCCTCCAGTATGTATCAATCCGTTTTCTGTTTAAGATGCTAGGAGTTATTGATATTGCAGACAAGAGGTGATGAAATACTGAGTCTCCCTGCTGAGTCACTGCCAAGGGATGTGTAGCTTCAAGGACAATCTCTTCCAAAGCCTCAGACTATCTTGCACCTCACATCAAAAACTGGATTTCTCAAGTTTTTTTTATTATCATCTGTTTATAAAGAAGAAGTGAAACGGCTGACTGGTGTGAATTCCTTTTATTGTTTGTCTAAAGCTTTGAGAGCCAGACCAATATTGACATGGAAGAGGAATAGTGGGGGGTGAATGTGGAGCAGCTGCTGTGGCTTATAGGACATGGATGGCGTTCATTTCTGGCCTCCACATTTTTGACATAGAAACATTGCATGACATGGAACAGAGAAGTAGTCACCAGACAGGGATGGAGATGTCTTTTTTTGGTGTCATGTTCCATAATACGCGTGGAACTGGGTAACTACATTAGTGTAATGGAAAACTCTAATGTCACTGTTGCTGACAACTTAAGTCAAACCACCACTTCTTCTTAAGTAGCTTTTCCCTCTAACAAGTATGAATTAATCTCACTTAGCTTCATTTTAATATGTAACTTCAACATCATTCATTTTGGATGACAAACAAATTTGCAAACAAGGAATCTATGAAAGTATGTTACCTGTCAACTTAGCACCTGTTTGACTCCTGTCCTTCCAGGTTAATAGCATGTGGAGCGGTGATGCGACCCTATGTGGAGGCCAATATATCCCACAAGTCCCACACCACCATCAAGTACTTCCTGAAAATGTGGAGCAGCGTGAGTGAGACACTAATCTTCATCTTTCTGGGCGTGGCGACAGTGGAAGGACCTCACAACTGGAACTGGACCTTCGTCACAGTCACTGTCATCCTGTGTCTGGTGGCCCGGGTCATAGGTCAGGTCTACTTCAGTATTTTCTCAGAACTTCTTCAAATAAATGTAATTTATGCCTTGCTGCAGTGTGTAGCAATATTGCATAAAGGGGAAACTACTGTTGACTTGCAACAGAAGGAAGGCAGTGTTGTTCATTTGTTATATCATCTGTTTTAGGGTTAATTCATGCAAGATCTCTTTCCTAATGTGTTACGCTTGTATTGAGAAATCCTTACATGAGACAGTCAATTCACAATGTGACTAAACAGGCTTGAATGCAAATCAGAAAGAACACAAGTAAAGTTTTAGTATTTATTTTCAAAAGAGATAAATGTCTTCCACTTTGATGTGAACTGTAATTTACACAAAAATGATTTCTCTGTGTGTAGAAAGACCTTTGTCTTTGTTTTGAAAAAGGGAACTGGAAACACAGAGTAAGAAATGCAGCCTCGTGTTTCATCACCGCTGTCCATGTGTGTAGGAAGCGCCGCCAAGTAATCCATGTTGACTTCTGAAATAATGATGACCCATACCACACTGAGCTCTTGTCTTTTTTTGACATTTTTAGCCTTTTAGGCCAATGAGCCTTTTAGGAAACTTTCCATAAACAAATATGCTTCCTGTGGCGGAGTTGTCGCTCACAATAATCATACTATTACTTGCATCACATGAGACAAGATCTTCTAATACAAACATTGGCCTGTTGGTTAAAATTTAGCTTGTTTACTATAAATCACATAAAAAACTGCTGCTTTCCAAAACATGCTTTAGAGTTTTAAATTGTGTTTTTTTTTTACTGGGGTGGAGAGTATTACTCCATTTAAATAACAGCATGTCTGCAAGTGCAGATTAATTTTAAAACTCAGCAAAGCGTTACTGTGCATATCTTTTGAGGGAAAGCAGATAGAGTTTTTACTGTTATGGACTAAATCAAGAAATTGCCACTTTGTAAGTTGGTTTTCATAGCTGTGTGAAAATAAATAAAGAAATGGCTGTGTGTAAGATAAGGAAAAACACATTGAAAAATCCTAAACATCATGGTCCAGAAAGTATATTTTACTTTTATAGACTTTCTTGTTATTGTGTTTTTGTCATTTTTTGTGTTTATTGTTTGTATAGGGAAGTAGGAGCACCATTACAGTCACAAGGTGACACAAGGCAAACAAGTGTTATACAACAGTTTCTTTGCCCCCAGTTTTTATGTTAATGTTTGCAGCACATCCGCTCTGCGAACAGTTCATATACGTTGCATGTTCAGTGTAGCTAAAGTGTAAGTCACAAACAAATCCAACCTCACATTCTCATAACATTGTCCTTCCCAGGTGTGGTCGGTCTGACCTACGTGATCAACAAGTTCCGCATCGTCAAACTGACCACCAAGGACCAGTTCATTGTGGCCTACGGTGGCCTGCGAGGTGCCATCGCCTTCTCCCTTGGCTTCCTCTTGAATAAGGATCACTTTCCCTTGAGAGACATGTTCCTTACTGCCATCATCACTGTTATCTTCTTCACTGTCTTTGTTCAGGTACGAGTACCCAGTTTATCCTGTTTGGTCTAAACAGAGTTTAGATTTTAAAGTTTTCCTTTTAAGGAGAAAACTTGTCGTTCAGCCTGATTTACTGTAAATGACAAAGTTTCTCTGTAGCCTTCTGTAAGCCTTATTATGGGATGTCATTATGACCATTATCAGTGCACAACTTCAGTGTTTGTTTTCAAGATTCAGATTCCTGCGCTTTGACTCGTCACTACTAGTGAACACATTGTAGATAAACATTGTTCACTATTCCAAGTAAGACATTGTGTGGATTTTATTCACATGTTCTGTATGTTACACATTTCATCAGTCATCACCAACCATATTGGTTTGCAAAAAAAAAGCAGTATAAAGTAATATATTTGATCAATAAGTCTGTTCAACAAAACCAATCTATCTCAGAGCAAATGTTTTATTTGCAACAATTTAGTTCAACATTGTGAATCTTGTTCCTACCTGTCATGCTAAGGGTTGAACATCAAAGTAACACTCATGTATTTGCAGGAGAAAAAATGCCTGTGTGATGTCACATGAGTTGGTATTTAAGTAAACTTCCCAAGCTGGTTTAGGAAGATTTCAGCTTTGAAGTATTCTATAAAAATGGTGAATCATGTCAGAACAATGACCATGTATATAGACAGACAGGTGAACTAACTCCTTCATCAATGTGAAACATAAAATATGGTTTATGTCATGACACGTTCTTACTGATTGAACCTCAAGATAACATACAAAAACAGTACGTGAAGATGGGATAAAGTCACCAGGAAGTTATTGCATACATATTATGTGTTGTCCATTTTAAGCACCGTGAGCTGCATCAGCCCTGTCTTGATAAACCAGTCTTCTAGTGAAACTGTAGGAGGATTCTTGGATGTGAATTGGACCCAGAATGGAAGCAGCTAAAATAAAACCTTGAAGACATGTTCTCTCCTCCTCAGAGGCGAGATTAGAAACATGTTTTATTCATGCTGCTGGATTCAGCACAGTTAGTCTGATGACTACAGATGCAGATCAGAAGGGAGAGGTTAGATGCAATGTGTGAGCAAGAGTGGGACTGAGTGTGTGTTTTAATGGATGAAACTTCCTTTCTTGCGTTGGCTTAATTCTGTTATGATAGTCCACATTAATTACAGTATGGCCAGACCAGTTAAGATTTTGGATTTCTGGACATCTCATTGTTTATTGTTGGTGTTGTTAGTATAATTATGTGGAATTAAGACAATTTAGTCATTAAAAATTGCCTTCCGAGTAATGTTAGGTTGGTAAGATATTCATAATGGAATTTATTATCTACCTTAGAAGAGGGAATGTTTCATATTTGCATCTGTAGCAGACTGTATTTCTACTATGGATGATTCTGTGGTTTTTCATGTAGATTATGTTGGATGCAACTGACCAAACTAAAGGGAATTCATCATTTATTGCTCCATTTTAACATTTCTTTTGAATTTTTTGAATATCCTTGTGTCATGTTTTGTGTGGTTGAATTGAAATAAGTATGATGTGATGTGAAAAGTGTAGGTTCCTTTGCATGCGGGCCTGGTACCAGGACTGGGTATGATTAAAGAGCAAGAATCATCCGTCATCCACTTTGGGCTATTACAGTTAACCAGATGGCTACCTTAATCTCTTTAAGCAGCAGAATGATACGCTTGAGCTTTTAGGTGCAGACAGGCACAAGCATACACACACACACACACACGACTGGTTATAATCCAACAATAGCCACACATCAGACTGATGTTTGATTTAGCATTGCTGGAGCCATTTTTTTTATGGCTGTGTGTTTTTCTTAATCTTATAATTGACCAGTATGAGTCCGAGACACATTTCCATCTCTTTTACTATAAAAGTAAAAATCTTTTTTTAAAGAGTTGAGTCCCAGAGTTGTTTGCTTAACAACATGAGATGAGTGTCTAGAAACCCTTCAATTCCTGCTTCACAATCATATACACAGGAACAAACACAATATGTACACACAGTTCAGTTAGTTTAGTAGTTGACGTATGCACTTATCAGTTGTGTTTATCATCACATTTCTCTCAAGAATGTAATCACAGTGATCCACAGTAAAAACCCTGAACCAACATCATTCTCTGTGTGGACAGTTTTAGTAGTTCAGGATTTCTCTTAAGCTGAACTTGTTCTTGGAAGAAACATCTCTTTGCCTCACTTACCCACTTATATACTTCAAAGAATGTCTGTCCAGGGACCAGAGGATACACGGAACGGTAGTGCTTTATATTGTTGATAATGGATAGGATGTGTTCATTTCACTTGGGGCGTGTTTTGCAGATTTGTCATGTTGATATATATATATATATATTTTTTTTTTACTGAAATCTGTAACTTTCCACATATTGTCACCCTCTACAGTAGGTGAGAGATTTACAGCAACAATGACAGGGTTGTTATGAAAGGTTGTGTGAAGACCTGCTGTGTTTGTTAATCAGAATTTGGACACTGCGCCAAACAGTGAAGTGGGATGCTACTTAGGTTATGCTTGACTTCAGTGAATGAAAACAAGCATTGTGGCTCTGTTTGGCATTGTAAAACAAGACAGGTGTGACAGATGTCAGTCTCAGAGCAAGAAGAGTGCTGATGTTCTACTACAATCCTCTGACACACTGAAAGATTGTAAAACACTACAAACACTTTTGTTCCTCTCACCTCTTTTGCAGGGCATGACCATCAAACCACTGGTGGAGCTGCTGGCAGTGAAGAAGAAACAGGAGGCTAAGCGCTCGATTAATGAAGAAATCCACACCCAGGTACAACTTTTCCCTTTAAACCATCCTCAGTCTGAATGCTTAGAATCTGATGATTTCTTATTGGTTTATACATATTAAGGATTCAGAGTCTTTTGGTGTCAAGCTGATAAATGAAATGTCAAATGGTTACCATAGGACCATAGGTTAACCATAGGACATCTTTGTATAAATGTATGTTATACACAATACTCATTCATTATACATAATAGAAAACACTTATAAATCCATCAGCTTCCTCTTTTAGCAAGCTACCTTGTTGAGCCATAGCAATGCAATCTCACTTCTGTCATGTGTTTGGTTTAATTAATCACATAGACAGAAGCAGGAATACAAATATTACTAATAATGTGCATTGATAAATTCGCAGAAAAATAATTGATACAGATTCTCCTGATGGTATTACACATTCCTTTTGGTCCTAGTTAGGTAAAACATGACATCCATTTCCAGTTACAAGCCTCTGAGGCCATTTAGGTCATCACATTTTGATCGCTGCTTCCACCTACTGGCTGTGTGGTGGTACTTTATCTTAAATATTGCACTGTGCAGTGTAGAAGTATAGCACAGTGAATGTCAATCCAATGATTAGAAAATAAGTCACACACATACACACACTGCATCTTGTATCCACAGTTTCCGGTACTCAAACACACCCAGGACTGACCATGGGCCACAATCCCAGGGTGTTTTAAAGCTTTAAATACAGCTTAGATAAGCACATAAACACACACACACACACAGCCCTCTCTGGGGCTTTGTGTTAAGTCACCAGTGCTTGAGGCTAGAAGATCAGGCTGCCCTAATGGCTTCTCCCTCACTTTAAAACACCAGCGATTAGAGTCAGCAGAACCGGTTGAAGGTACCATGGCACTGGGCTACAACATAGCGCTGAATAAAAATAGAGTGCTACGCAGTCCTCTGATATGGAGGCTGTGAATTTATATATTTATTTATTTGTTTATTTATTTATGTAAGTGGCTCAGCGATGCTGCAGATCCTTTCAGGCATAGCAATTTTACTTACTGTGCTTCTAATTGGGTTGGGAATTAGATTACAATACTTAATATTAAGAAATGTGCTGACAGAGATGGCACTACCACTACTATATGCAGTTGCATTGCGTAACAGTCATGTATGGATCATGATATTTGTGTGACTGAATAGAAAGATATAGCCTTAAAAAAAAAACATAAATTGGCATTAATCATGAGTTAAGATACAGCAGCATGTATACCTGTGGCCACATTCACATGACAAACACACATATATTAAAGTGGATTGGTTAACTGGTTGGAAAAGCTCCAGAGGTGAGATGTTTGTAGTAAGAGATGAACATTTAAGACCCAGTATCGGTGTAACCAGAAGAGAATGTATCATAATATGCTGGTATATTTTCTCACCAGTTTTCAATCTGTTGCTACTTTTTAAAAACAGACTTATTCACCCCCACCCCGGCAGTCTTTATATAAATCAGTCTCTTCTGACAAAGCAGAAGTAAATTCTGTGGCTCCGCTTAATGACCTGTTCCCATAGCAACACTGCCTGTCATACTGTCATTGGCAGGCTTAGTCAGAACACCAGGGTGACCTGTGGCCGGCTGCAGTATGAACAACAAGTGCACTGGTACATTTCTCTGGTTCTCTGAGCGGGCGTGCTGCCACTGTTCATAAACACTGTCCAATCAATCACCTGGCTGCTGCTGCTGCTGGTTTTCTCTCTTGACTTCCATTTTAAAGCTTGTCACCTGCTGTTGTTGATAATGTTGTTGGCAGTCTTACCTGGGAGTGTTTTCACTGTGAGGAATGGGAACTGTGGTACAGCAAAAGGTACAAGATGCAGCTGAGGGATGTCTGTGGTACCATTTTACATAAATTATATGCACCAATAAAAACATTTCACATTTTAAGTAAATCATAAGTGGTGTGCTCTATATACAAACATAGGAAAGGAAGGAAAACGTTTTTTGTATGCCTTGCTAATTCTGTTTTACAAAGAATGAAAATACTCCCCAGAGAAGGCGGAGGCCCAGACTGAGAGTCTGATTCAATCTGGAGTTTGTCTTTTTGTCAGTCTCCGTTGATGATTTTCTGACTCTTTTTATCCCCAGTTCCTCGACCACCTTCTGACTGGCATTGAGGACATTTGTGGACACTATGGACACCACCACTGGAAGGACAAGTATGGATTTTACAGTTACCTGAGAAATAACATTGTAAAAAACAGAAAATAAATGGCTATAAATGTGGAATTGTTAGTGATTAATTCCCTAATTTAACCTCTTTTTGTATTATTATTATTCTTCAAGTATGAACTATTTTTCAAACCTCTGTCCAGTTCTTACACCCATGTCTGTCTTTTGTCCTTGGTCTCTGTTTCTGTCACTCTTTTCCTCCTACCAGACTTAACCGCTTCAACAAGAAGTATGTGAAGAAGTGCCTGATTGCAGGCGAACGCTCCAAGGAGCCACAGCTCATCGCCTTCTACCACAAGATGGAGATGAAACAGGCCATTGAGCTGGTGGAGAGTGGAGGGGGAGTCAAGCTGCCGTCTGCTATGCCTTCCGCTGTTTCCATGCAGTAAGTACTGAGTATATACTCTGTCTTCAGTTATCAAACTGCCACTTTATTCACCAGTTAGTCACTAACTGTGTCTGTCTGGTGCTGCGCAGGTAGTGTACAGTGGGTTCTTAGAGCTTTTCTGCTAAAAAATAGCTGCCTGCTGCAGTCGAAAACACACCATAACAGCAATGACACTGAACCAAAATGGTAAAATTAGAGGTGGGACAGCTAAACCATGGAAACTGGCTATATAAAGCTCTGTAAAGCCTTGGGAAGCTGCGGATTTGTGTCACAATTCTCTGTAGGTTCATCACTACGAGCGACCCCTTTCATGTTTGAGACACTGTCATTCTTAAAAATGTTAATTGCATTCAAGATTTCACCTTGCTATGCACGTTTATTTGCGTTTATTTCACTTCGATGCAGCCATGAAATTATACAAAAGTCCTGACAGATTCTGGAAGTTGACATAAAATGTAGGTCAACACAATAAAACAGACCCCATGAACCACAGTAGTTTCACAGCTGTCAGGAACAGTTTTATTTTTATATATTGTTTCACATTAGCTACACTACAGTCACAGTATCTCATTTCATGTTTGATATGAGGATTTATGATGATGGCTTTAATGACTGTGGATTTTGTTTCTTTTTTTTATAGTTAAATAGACTGAAAATCTAATTTTAAGGAAGATTTCACAACATTACAAATTTCATCCAGTAATGTCATGGTGTTTTTGGTATCTCGTGCGATTGAGCTTTGAATGTAAAGAGGCTGGCTGGTGACTGGAAGCTTGCTGGTTCTTTGACAAACACTGATGTGTCTGAGCTGTTTTGTAGCTAGTATTACATAAACAGCATCATCATCGTCATCATCACCACCGATTGTCATTGCCCGTTATGCTTGCATGGTGTAACCTTAAACAAATCCTACTGTAAGCAGCTGCACAGGCCTCATTAATTTGACAACTGCAGTATCAAGTAGTCAGTGATTAATTGCTAAATTAAGCCTGAGGCAGTCTTAATATTCAGTGTGAGCGCACAAGTCAATCTTTACTAAATGCAAGTAAAAGCTGAAGACGGTTGAAGACTTTGACTGATGGGGATCCTCAGTCTTTCTTCACTTTAACGCTCTCAAACTAAGGACAGACAAGAGCAGACCTGTCACCCACTTAACAACACACTGTGCAGTTAACAAGCCACTTACTTTGTTATTATTGAGTGTCCGCTATAGAAAAAAACTATGTTGGCTCTAACATTTCCTGGTTTGCTAAAAATGTTAGCTGTGCAGTTACAAGAGCTGTTACCCACAGTCCTCGAACACAAACATTCTCTCAGTCATCTGATCATTCGATACCAGGAGGAAATAATTTCTTCTAATCTTCTTCTTTCGATGGTTTGGTTATTATCACAACCGTTTGTCATGTGTTTTGGCGAAAGCACATACAGACATTTGATGTGTACACATGTCTGTAATTTGTTTGCCCTGGTCTGTAGTGCACAAACTCAGATAGTCTTTTTCCTGCTTATTTCTCAGGAACATCCAGCCCAAGAAGCTTCCTCCTGCCAAGCCCGCAGAGAGAGCTCTGTCCAATCTGCCCAAAGGCCGAGAGGAGGAGATCAGAAAGATCCTCAGGAGTAACCTTCAGAGGACACGACAGAGGGTAACACTGCTATACGAATAATGACAAACATTATTACATGTGTATGTCTTATATTAGCTGAAGATGTACTGTCTTGTATTACCAGGAACTTATCATTATTCATATCTATTTGCATATTAGACTATAGTGTATTCATTGTTACAAAGTTAGAAGTAAATCAGTAGCTCTGTATATTTTTCACTTTTAATTGTTAACCATTAGATTGTCTTATGTTATATGTCTTCTGTTTCTCAGCTGCGCTCCTACAACAGGCACACTCTGGTGGCTGATCCGTACGAGGATGGTCTTGGTGATCTCCTTCTCAAGAAGCAAAAGATGATTGAGCTGGAGAAAAAGGTATGATTGTTGGTGTCACTGAGGCCCAACACCTCTCAAATCAAGAAAGTGATAAATCTGGAGAAACACAGTAGACTCCAACAAACCAACAGATGAAGAGCAGCTCCTCTCATTTCATACCAGGCCACCAGCAGTTAAATGGTTCAGCCAAAATTATGATTTGTGTTCTAATTAGAGTCCACCTTCAGTCTCCTAAATTCATTTTCTTGACACAAATGGGGGGGTGATTTATTCTCACGGTTGAGTGGCACTACTACAAACTTCCATTTCATCAGCCTGTAATTACATAATCAAAATAGACTCTTGTTTTGTGTAAATCAAATGTGCTAGGAGCCACTGTAGACTAAAGAGGATTTCTGCAGGGAACAAAGCATCATTTTAATGAAGTTTCTCTAAGATACAGATCAATAGTGAATTACTGACTTATTTTAGTTTGGCTGCAGTCCTTTTTTAAATTAATTAAATGAGGCAGAGTGTGTGTGTTAGTTTTAATTTTTCTATCATTAAAGCTTTATACTATCATAGTGAATATTTATGGAAGTTATATAACTGTTACAGTTTGATTACATGCAGAAGGCTTAATCATCCCATAAACAAACAATATCCCTGTTTTTTCTAGATAAAACACATGAATAACTACCTGACGGTGCCTGCTGCTCCTCCTGACTCCCCGACCATGTGTAGAGCCAGACTGGCCTCAGGTAAACACATCCATCTTGGCCACAGCCAAATGCAGACGCTCGATAGCTACCACTATTACTACTACCACCAATAGGAGAAAATTCAACCTGTTACTAATGGCACCCACAGGGATCAGACATTATGTTTTGTTCGGCTCACGAGGCAGCTTTCACAAAACAATGAACACTTTAGAAAGCACTGCTATTGTTCACAGCTGCAGCAAAAGATATTTCCCCATTGATGGAAATATGTTTGCATGTGCCGGCCGGCATGTAAACCAGTGTGTGGTTTCATTTTAGGCAAAGATACTGATTTCAAACCTGCTCAACAGCAGAAAGGGAACACAATCTGTCCAGGTATGTCATGAGTGTAGAGAAGACTCGTTTTGAGTTGTGATCACCAGCAGTCCTAACATGCATGCGTCAATTATGTTGCTTGTTAACATTCATTAATTATTCATCACTAACGAGGGGGTCTCATGACATGATTAACAAGACCAAAATCCGATTTATTATAGCCAAGGAGCAAAGTCTTGCTGTTTACAGTCAAGCATGATATATGTTGGAATTTCAGCTTTTAGTTTTCCATAGTAAGTTTTTACTAAAAGTGTTATTATTCCAGCATGTGTTGCTTTGTGAATCATTGTGACTTCCTTTGCATTATTTTTGTTGTCTTGTGAAATATTTGGAACGGCCTTGAAGCCTGCTGTCATCAAGTTTGTGCAGTGATTGTACTTGGAGCTTTGTTTTCCCCAATATTTGTAGATCACATTCTCCTCCCCTTGTACATCGTATGTTCATGCACGCTGATGGAACGACTCAATGATATTCAATTCCTTTTTAAAGTTATTTCACTAATATTGTACCCTTGTCCTGCCTCTAGACCCCCAAGCCTACAGCATGAAACCGGAGCCGGACAGCGTGCCGACCATCCAGGTGGACCTGGCCTCCCCTCAGTCTCCGGACTCTGTCAACCTGATGGATGAGTTCAGACGGGCCGACCAGCAGCACGAGGAGGACCAAGGCCTGATGATGAGGCCTCCCTCTGGGGAGAGTGGACCTAAAAAGCCAGGCGAGGAGGACGGATCCAGAGAACAGCATAAGCTGATGAGGTGCCTGAGCGACCCTGGTCCCAGCGCAGATGAGGACGAGGATGAACCCTTCCTGCCTTGATATGGTAGACCGGATGTGGAGGGGTCTGTCTGCACGCCCACCTTCACTGGTTAGAGGAGAGAGGGCTGCCTCACTGCTCTGCTCTCAACAATGTATTTGGTTCAGAAACCAAACAAGCCAAAACTGCTAATGCTGTACAAACCAGAAAGAGAAAGCAAAAGGAGATTGAGAAAGAAAAAAAGAGCCAATTAGTTTGTTATTGTCATTGCTCTTTATTTTTTTAGACAGGATTGTAACAGCAGTTGCTGCTATCTAAGAGAGGATGGAGTTTATTAGTCTGAGACATTCAGGAAAGAACTATGCATTACCAAAGGTTTGGACTGTTGTAGTGTCAGACCATGTCATTTTTACTTTAGCGTCGGACTGTTTTTCTTTCCTAATGATTGCATAGTTGTTGGTTTTATGTTTGTTTGTGATTTTCTGAACTTTTCCTTCTTTACAGGTACATTCTTTGAGACATGCTGGACCTCTAGTCCTAAATGTAATCAACAAAGCAAACTTTCAAACATTGAGTTTAGGGCGTTCGATTTAAACCAATATTTCATTAAAACTTTCATTCTGTCACTTGAAATTGCTGGATATTGAAACATTTAAAGTGTAGCTAGTTTGAAATTTTTGGCCTTATTTTATGTCAAACTTTTTCACTTGGTGCCGTTTCATCTTTGTCTTTTATGAAAAATGTATTTTAATTTCAGGGGTACTAACATCCGTTTGCAATCAGAGTTTGTTCCAGCGTTTGTGGGATGTAGATTAAAAAGCTGGATGCATTTAGTCACTGTGTTAAAGAACCACGGTTCTTTATAGTCGTGCTTACAGACCTGCGGCCTTGTCCTGAGGCTGCGGAGGGAGTTATGTGAAATTCCTCTCTTTTGTAGAAAGAAGTGTTGACCTACAGAGTAAAAGCTCTGAGTTGGGGAAGCTTGTGAGATAGACAGTGAAGCTGCACAGATGTTTTGATGTCAGTGATCATGCTTGATTCCCCATCCAATCCTTCTAAAGTTAAATCACATGTTGTTATGTCACGTTCCTGTGTTGATGTTTTATGTTTTACCTCAATTTTAGAATCCCCTTTAAAACTCACTAAAGTAGGGGTCGAGTTGTTAGAGTAGATGTATCTCTCTCTATATATTAATATATATCAATGTAGTGAACAAGTGCCCATCTAACAGTCACCTTCAAACTCCTCACCACACGATCTGATTATTATTATAGCAAAATAATCAATTTTCGCTTTCTTTTACATGCCTATTTGCATTCTTCAGTTGTTGTTTTTTTTTTATTGGCCTTTACAAGAAGCATTTGTGTCACTGCACGATGAGTGATGGTTAGTTTGTACAGGAATCTATCCACACTTCCTTATTGAAATCTAAGACTAGGCATGTCCTGGCAAAAAAAAAGTAATTCTATGCAGTATAGATGTGTAAAATATGTAAATGAATTATAATATCCTATATTTATGAATACCCTTTAAAACTGAAGACTTGTAATCCTGTAAACATGCAACATAATGAAACAAACCACTGCGAAAGTCAAAGCTAAAATCCAACACGGGCATTAATTTTTGCACATCTGAGAAAGACTGAAAGCGTATCTGAAGGCACGAAAGTGTACTCATTCTCTACTGTACTGTATCTGGTTGTACAGTGTGTATGATAATCAGTGTAAAATACAATGCACGTCTTTTTTACACTGCTGCTCAGTGAATTGGAATCCAACATAAATCATTCGAGTTGCTATGATTTGCAGATTCATATGCATCTGAAAAACCCACCATGCTGTTAGTTTCCACAGAAAGTGCCACAGCAAGTGATTGCATTGTAAAGCCACAAGTATTCTTTCACCCAAGTCTGTTATCACTATAAGAGTGCAGTTTCTCAATACACGCCACCCAAAGAACTTAGTATGGAAAGTAAACTTTAGCAGTGAAACACAGTCCTTCTCTGAAGTAAGCTGAGTGAGTCACTGTTCCAGTTTTCTGGCTATTTTATAGCTGTTAGTGACCATTGAATCCCTCCTGATCCTCTTACACCCAGAAGGCTCACATTACAGCTGAAGGGAACAGGCAGCAGAACCTGACATGCTTGTTCTTTAACTCGTCTTCTCTGAAGTATCTAGCTCTCTATGGTGATTGTAGCGAGCGTAAGAGGATATATTGTCTGTGCACACATGCACTCAAGTAAATCCGGGTCCATGTATGTGCAAATATATGAGCGTACTTGCGCTGTGGTTGACTGCGTATCTCTTTTTGCCCCCGACACTTTTCCTGCTTCCCAATGTCTAAAAGGATAATTACAGCTACAGCAAGAGGTCAAACCATAAAGCATCTCATTTTCCTGTCTCAACCAAATGGAATTTACTTTCTGAAATGTCGGCGTGTTTGATGGAGTGCCGGAGAGGAGAAGGGTGCTGAAAATGTCAACAAGGACGAGGTCAAAGAGGGCTGTTTAAAAGCCAGAATTGACAAGCAAAATGACATGCGGCACTTCTCCCCATCCTTGAATGCTCCTTTTACCGTCGCTTAAAGAATATTTACAGTACATGCAGCATTGAATTTATGAGGTTCTGAAATGGTTTAGAAACTGCCGCCACAGAAGCCCTGAGAACTGTTTCTCTCCCTCTGTGAATGGCCTCCTAATGCGGTGCTGTTGGGGATATTTCTATATCATGTTCCCCGATGCTCTATCCATTTAACGGCAGTCTGTTACTGTCCTTACCTTTCAACTGCTCTGCGGAGACTGATAAGTACGTTTCAGAAACGTTGCAGCAAGTAATGCATTTCTTAACATACTCCCACTTGTGAATGCATGTAACTGTGCGAATGCAAAGCAAGGTATCTCACAGAGAGAATATGCATCACGCTCTGCACAGATGTTGTATTTTTCATATCAAAATTGACACGAGTCACTGTAACTAATACAGAGCGAAACACCACCTGTTTAATTTCAAACCTCCCTGATTACTTCACATTATTCCAAAGAAAAGAAACACTATTTTCATACTTTTGCTTTTCATACCAAATGCATCTTTTTGGGCAAACATTCTCACACTGCTTGGCGGGAAATGTTTGGTGCAGTAAACCTTAATCTGAAGCCATACAGCCTATAGAAGAACCTATGTCGTTATATTCGCATTATTATAATGTCTGTACACATCATTTTTGCCTTTTGTTTTGCTCAACGCACAAAGCAAACATGCCTTTACATTTGAATCGCTTGTGTCTTCAAATGAATGCTTGCTGTTGTTAATTTAAGATCTCCACACTGGATGTTTTTTTTTTTTTCTACGGCGCTGAATTGTTTTAAGTCGTGGCAGTTTTCATTGAATGTGTTGGACTGAACTACAATGTCAACACCGTTGCCTCACCAGCATTCACCATCATCTTTAAGTTGTTTTTTTTTTTTGCATCTGTTTGCTATATAAAACCTGTGTGCTTTATTTGTTTAACTGCTTTATTGTACTGTACAAAGACTTTTTGGGGGGCTTTACAGGGAAATTCAAGGAAAAGTCCCTTGCTTTTGTTGTCATTGTCTGGATTCATGTGCATTGCATCAAGCTTTACAGATGTTTTTAGGCCTCACTGTGGGGGCTTTTTCCATCTCTTGTTTATAATTAGTACAGCTTATAAGCTTTATAGTGAAATCTAGTGCTCCTAACGTTGGATTGTTCCACTGGGAAATGTAAGGTGAACACATCAGTTACAGTCAGCGGTGCATGCGGACAAGGCTCTTTACTTTAAGGCCACACTTGGGTTTTTGCATGTTTTAGATTTTTGTTTGAGTTGTTTTTCTCTGGTATCCAGGCAACCATTAGTTTCCATTCATTCACTGGAGCGTAACAAATCTCATAAAGACTTTGAACTTGCTTCAGATCATCACCATGAACATCAGATTTACTTTTAGGTCTGTTGCATTGCAGATTGATCGAATCAGCTTAAGTCAGCTTCTTTTTCAAGTCAATCTTACAACAATATTAACATGCCTGTATGGATATTGGAACAGTATTTGTTTCTCCTGTCCATACTGGACCTGCATACTGCATACTGTCTGCATACAGGTCCATACAAGGCTTCACCTCTTCTGAGGTTTCAGAACAAGACTTCTCCTTTAACCCAGACTTGGTTAGACACACATTGGATAAAAGTTTAGAAAACGTTAATTTCTCTGTTCTCTGTCGTGTTGTCAGACACTTACAATAACAATCTGATATAGATTATAGATTACGTGGCAGCCCGTTTTGAAGCTGCAGGCTGCAGTGATCTCACTCAATACTTGGCTGAGTTCAAAACCCCAAAGATGGGAAAATGGGTTCCAGGTTGAAAAATACAGACATTCCCCTTTAAGAAGGACCAGTATGAACAGGAGGAACAATAACAGCAAAGTAAAAACTTTCAATGTACACATGGGTATGTCAATATTGTTTTAAGATATACTTTAAAACTGCAGCAACAAAATTAAGACAATTATGGAAGTAAATGGTTGCCAGAAAATTAAGAAAAACAGAAAATCCTTGACACTACAGTATGCTTTGAAAAACTGGCATTAATTTGGTTACTACATGGTTTGTACTACATGGGCTAAAATATGCAAAAACAACTGGTATGTTCCTTTAAGTTCTGTAAGGTTTGACCAGCCGAGCAGTGCAAGGCTTACGGTTAGGGTACATTGTGGATAAACATTAGACACATACTGTCCAATTATAAAGGCAGTAATCAGACAGTGACGCACACACACACACGTCATCAACATAATGACCCTGCAGTGTCATTAGTCCGCCACCCAAAGACTGTTTTCCTCCCTCGTTTACCTCACCGTTCTCCGATCTGCCTCATCTGGCTCCTCTTGTACTCCACCATTTTACACCACACCGAGCACTTTAACAAAGCTGTACTTTAATCTCAAAACACAGATGTTAGAGAGAGCAATAAGTGGCTTTAATGTAGTGTACACATTGTGCATGGTTATCAGGTGACACATCATAGGGAAAAGGAATGTAGTTCCTGATGGGCCTTATTAACAGGGATGGGTTTAGTGTTTTTAATCCTAAAGCGGAGAAGCTGGGGGTTTTAAATCCTAGTGAATGCTATGACTTGATGAACTAGTGGATTATATTCATATCTTGTTTTGTTTTTCTTCATGTTTGTTGAGTTTATGTGTCAGTCTATTTGTCAATTGTTTGCATCGTTTAAATTTTGAAATAATTAAGAGTTGTTGTTTTTATATACACATGAATGCGGGGAGAAAACATACGTATTAGAAATTTATTATAATGATGTACAAATCAGAGTCTGAAAGAAATGAGCACTTTGTTCTTGATTCACCTTTAGCTTCCAGCATTCCATTCCTGTAATGATCAGTAAAACTAACAACCAGAAATTAAACTACGACAGATACTATATACCAAATTAAAGTTTTACAGCAATGCCGTGTGTCTGCGTCTCGTCATTTCTGTCTCGTAATAATACAAGTGAGTTCATGCATTTCAACTGGACACATCCTTCCATCTGAGGACTACATCCAAGTTGATACCTTGGAAATGTTGTAGTCAGTATTCAGATCCTTTACTAAAAGTTGCAGTATCTTAATGTAAAAACCTACATTGGCAAGTAAAAGCACATACGTGTTATGAGCTAAATATGTTTAATATACCTTTGATGCATTAATGTGTGCGCCATATTGTATTTCTGTTTTGTAGGTAAAATCTAAATGTGCAAAGCAACTACTAGTTGATGCTATCATGCAAATACTGTAGCTGTCCAAGGTGGCGCTAGAATTGTGCTCTAGTGTTTATACAAAATATAGGAAAACGTTAAAGAGCTACAGAGGCATATTCTAAAATGCTTTTTACTAATTTTACTGTATTTTAATCAAATGTCATTTCTGGCTCATTCTACTGTGCAGCTGCAATATAAAGAAAGAAGAACTAACTAAGAACTAATATTTTTTGGATTTGGTTGGCATATAATCAATTTTAAAATACAGATTCTTCATACTAAAGCTTTGACTTTTGGGCACCAAGATCTGTCCTATTTTATATACTGTTTGGTGGTTTAATTTAAATGGTAAGTGGACCTGTACTTGTATAGCGCCTTTCTAGTCTTCCGACCACTCAAAGCGCTTGTTTACACTACGTGCCACATTCACCCTTTCACACACATTCACACAGCGATGCACGGCATCAGGAGCAATTCGGGGTTCAGTATCTTGCTCAAGGATACATACATACATACATCATACCATACACATGGCAGGAGGAGCCTGGGAGCGAACCAACAACCTTCTGATTGGGGGACGACCCGCTATGCCTCTGAGCCACAGCCGCCCCCATTTACTGTATAACAATGTATTTATTTTCTGTACTTGTAGGTGTTTAAAATCTTGATCTGCAACTTTTAACTACAGATAAATGTACTGGAGTTGAAGTATAAAGTAGCATAAAATACCAGTACACCAACAGGTATCCTCCCCTGCTGGTAAAGCTACATAAAGAAGACGCCAAGTGCAAAGATCTACAAATCAGTTTGAACCACCTGCTTTTTTGTCCAGAAGGGAGAGTACTGCACAATATAATTTAAATCAAACCAACATTCTAAAAGTAAAATATTAAGGGATATAAAGTTGGATTTATATCTGGAAGACATTTTATAATTGGATACTTCATTGCGTCTAAGTTGAGTGTCTGCCTTGTTAAAGTGTATAATAGTATTACTCGGCTCGGCGGTTTGCACGAGGAATGTGAGACAACCAGGGAGGAAGAAAGCCGTGGCCTCTCTGGCTGAGGTAGTTTGTTTATTCTGCTTCTATTTCTGTTAAATCACAATCACAATGACTCGTGTGCTCCACCAGCCTGGCCTCACAATGACATTCCCTCTGTAACGTTTCTGGAATGGATATCCTCTATTTATAATATTCACTCATTTTAATTGTTGGCAGTTGCTGTATTCTAGCATTTTCTAGCAGAGCTTCTCGTGGCCAAGTTAATTTTACATCTGAAGAGTCTAATTTGAGACTTTAATTACCAGAATTGCTGTTGGCTGAAAATCCACTTTATATTTGGATTTGTAGGAATTTATCTGATACTCATCAAGAGGATTTAACAGTAAGTAAACAGTAAAATGAGCTTAAATTCCCAGATCACCATATTACAAGCATACAATAGCAAAGCTGTGGGTGAGAAGAGTTTGTCCTATCCATAAATCTGTGATATCACAGAAACAAACTGAATGCAGATAGGATGGCATTATAAACCTAGACCCCAGAGAGAGTTTCAGATTCCAACTCTGGGGTCAGGCTCAGTTTAGTCCAGATTAAAAAGTAAAAAAAACGTTCTACATGTTTGTCAATATGCTAATACGCTTTTCTTGTCAAGAGTTAGATGAGAAGCTACCACTCTCTTTGTAGAGTAAATATAAGGTTACGGCCATTAGCTGGTTAGCTTAGCTTCGGGAAGTCACTGCACCCAGCCAAGAAATAGTCCGACAGATAACCAGCATAATATGCATATATATATATTACGCTACATATACATTATATATTACATTTTGTGGCATGTGTGTATTTTTTGTTGTATGTATGTATTTTTGTGTTTTTGGCTTACCATTGTATTGTTTTGTTGGCTATGTATTTTAACTGATTGCAGGTATGTGTAGCACTATATTTCCTCTCCCCGATCTTATCTTAAAATCACAATATGTTATTTTCATGCTTCCGTTAAACAAATGAAATATAATGTGTCAATTAGTGTATTTTAGAAGTACTTATAGGTCTATTTTGTAACAGAGCCTGACTAGCTGTCTTCCCCTGTTAACAGTCTTTATGCTAAGCTACGCTAACTGGCTGCTGAATAAGTGTATTTCCCAAAATGTTCAACCAAAGATTGGTTGTCTTGTTTTGTTTAAATAGTTTTTAAAGAGCTAAAAACACCCCAAATTATAGAAAAACATTCTTTCCACTTTACTTGTGACCCTCTTCACTGGGAAGCACCACTGCTTCAAGCAACACTTTTCACAGCACGAGGTGGACACGAAATGTAACCCACAATAGCACTGCAATAAGTTTGTTTTATAATTTGTTAGTGACACTTCTGAATCAGTTTTTCCAGTCTGTATCATCAAAGACTTTATTCAGCTTTAAGGTAATTTCTGATTAAGGCTGCACTGTGTGGAGGTTTTGTACTGAAATGCCATATACTGTACCAGTGTTGCTTTCATTTAACTATGTATACTGAGAACTTTTGACACAAAACTTTGGGATGGATTAAGTTCTAGCTTATCCCATCTTATAATATCTTTGGGTCTATTCCCTTTCAGCTCAAATCAGATTTGCAGTAAGAAATATTGCAAATGTATCTGCTATTCTTGTGAATTAATTTTAAACTGCAAACCGAATTTAGTCTAACAAACGGGGAAAAACAAGTTTAAGTGACTTGGACTTCACGGGTCCTTTTTACAGTGGAATAAACACACAATAAACTCATGCCAAACATTTAATAGCCTTTCCCGGTACCGCAAATTTACATGTGAAGTGTGAAATGAGCCTGAAAGCTTTTCAAATGGATTGGTCCGAGGGTTTATTCATTTCTATTTTGCAGTAGTTAAATCACTGGGTCTTGTTTGTTTGTCAACTGGGTTCTCACCATGGTGGAGCAGGTTAAATTGGTCCTGTTTGCATGAGGGCTCTTCTGTTTATTTTCCCTTGATCGCTCTTTAATGTTTAGAGTTGCAGCCTTTTACTTTTAATGATGCTGTTTGTTTTGAACATTGGAGCGGTCTGACCCTCAGTCATCTCTTAATACATGGAGGAACGGAGGGTTTTGTGAGTATTTGCCAACTTCTGTGGTAGCCTTTGAGTGCAAAATCTTTGCATAGTCTGTCTAAAACATAAACCAATTACATGTTGGTGCAAATGGCCCGAAAGCTTAATTTCACACAGACTGAAATTCAGCCATGATGACTTCTCCGGGCCCTGCATGCAGTGCATAAAAACACCAACAGAGGGCACTGTGTAGCCATACATGTATACAGATCCTTAACAAGTGCTGTCATCGCTGAACAAGCTTTTCCTTTCTCACTTGTAATTTCACAGTATGAATTGTTAGTGCACTGAAAGCATACTGGCATGTTTAATCAGTGTGTTGGGGAGGGAGTCAGTCTTTCTGCGTCCCCATTCCATCAGCCTAATGGTGTGTTTGCTACTGCATTTGCTCTCATTTACATGGCCCATATACCCCCTCTAATGTATGGCTAATTGTTGTGTTTAGGCAATAAAAATGCTGAACCATCCCCCCGATGTTCCTCACAAGTGAATGTTGTGTGTTTCTTTCAGCGTCGGCTAATGTGCTTTGAAAAAATATTTTGTCGCACAACAAGAAATGTTTTGATTATGAATGTGGTGGAGGCGGGTCACTCAAGGGCCACACACACACACGCAGCAGTTCCCTGTTTGTCTTGTCTATAAAAGGAACAGACAAATATAACTTCAGCGAGGCAATAATGCTGAGCTTATTGTTCCGCTGGTACTATTTGCACTGACGGTTGATCTGAGCTGGATTTTGTTCATATTGAGAAGAGAGACGAGGAATGCAACGTGCCAGTTTAGACCCACTTCTTCTCAGCAGAATTATGCACACAATCAGCAAGTATTGCCCAAGCAGCGTTAGCATTGTTTGAAGAACTTATACTTTACTTCACCATTACCTTTTGTGCTGCTTTATACTTCTACTCCACTACCTTTCAACGAAAAATATTGTACTTTACTGCATTTATTTGACAGCTACATTTACTAGCTCCTTTGCAACCTATGATGAGCTTATAAAATATGATGCTATGGTATAAATTAAACTACCATAGAGCTTATAAAGTAGATAAAATTAACAGATAAAACAGCCCACTTTGACCAGTTGCAACATTTAAATGCTGCTTATATGTGAATGCATCAGAAATAATAATAATAAACACTCACACAAATTAGTATTTTGACTTTAAGTACAATATGCTGATAATTTTTCTGTACTGTTTACAGGACATTAACTTGTACACATTGTGGTACTTCTTCTACCAATGATCTGAATACTTCCTCCATCACAGCTCCAACAAACCACCCACTAATAGGATGAGGTGATGAGGCATCGGGTGAGGTGCCAGTGTCGCATCCTGTCAGGTGATCCAGAATTCATGGAGGGGTTACAGTGGGGTCCCCATCTACAGTATGCTTTGTCAGGACGTGTATATCTCTTTCACATCAAACACCAGGGTCAGCACCCCATCCCAAAAAGCTATCCCTGATATTTATGGCTCGACATCAAGCGTGCTGCCGAGCCATGATTCCCAATGTCAGAGAATGCTTTGCAGTGGTGCTTAGAGAAACAAATAGCAGGCATGGTGACATTATTAATCCAGACACGCTGGCATCGGCCAATACATCTCTGCCTGCTGTTTGATGTATTGGAATGAGCAGAACACAGAGATGGACTTTTTCATTGGCATCTCGTTTGATGAATAAAACATCAGTGCGGGTTGGGGATTGAATTTTTGAATACAAGAGCAGAAATGCTTCTGGATTACAGGACACTTTACAGTCTGTGACCCTCTGCAGAAAGTGTTTTAAAGGCAGTCAGCTGTTTTAGGCCATTTCCTGCATACTTTTAGAGACTCAGTGGTCATTTTGTAATTGTTTGTCCATGACTCTACTGTAGACTGTCTTGTCTTTTGAGAGCCGAGTGAAAAAAACGTTCTTACAGTACGTCTCTCCTCTGATCATTATCAATTGCCAATTAAGGGAAGAAAAGAGGGCACAAAATCATTCCCTCTATCCCCTAATGTATTCTGTTTGTGGAAATGCTTCCCAACTGATAAACCATGAGTCAATCTGATAACAAAGCCCCAACCGAGGGATGGATCTTTATTAATCACATGCGAACAACTTCCCATGCAGCGGCAGATTTCCCTCCCCATGCTGATAAATTATGTTTCAACATGGAGAGCCAGTATGTTCAGCACTGAGCTGCTGACGATATGTGTGTGTGTGTGGTGATATTGCTACATTATGGAGAGCCAACAGTCACCGCGGATGACATTTCTGCTGTGAAATCATATACTGCATCCGGACAACAGCAGTGTGTCCCTTTGTGAGAATGAATGCAAACCATACAGGAGAGTCTTTGTAAGAGCTATTTACCTATAAAAACATTTATTTTCAATGGAAAAATGTCTTTGCTTTGATTTCACCCTTTCCCGTTGGTGTTGGTGAGACTGCATTGCCTTACTCATCGATCCTTATGATAAACTAGGCTGTCAGGGGCTGGTGCAGCTTCATGCAAGCTCAACAACTGGACTCATGTATAACTTGGCCTTTTTTTAGAAACTCTGACTTGATATGTCTATTAAGTTGTTTTAAAAAGCCAGCAGTTAGTCTCTTTATTTGTTGGAATCAGCATAAACACACGAGTGATCCATTAGTTAACATTTCTCTAAAATGTTTACATTAATTGTATGCCTTTTTTTAGGAGGAGGAGCAACATATGCACTCAGAGGCCACTTTATTAGGTACACCTGTACAATCTGTAATGTACAATGTGTAAATTCAAGTTTGCATATGTTTTGTATTGAGGTAAACGAGTAAATGGACTCGGTGTGTATTCACATTCATACACTGATGGCAGAGGAAGGTGCCAACCTGCTTCCTATCCAAAGCATTTACAGTGATACTAAGCTCACCCATTACACACACACTCACACACACATGGAACGGGAGCAATTTGGGGTTCAGTATCTTGTCCAAGGACATCAACAGCAACAGCGACTCTCTGATTCCGAGACAACCTGCTCTACCACCTGAGCCACAGCCGCCCAGAAAGGTCACAGCAGGCAAAACTGCATTATATATTAACAATATAATCATATATTAACAATATAATGCAGTCCAGTCCAGTCCATCGTGACTTCATTGCAGATCAGTTGTATTGGACTACATCAGATTGTGCAGGGGTACCTAATAAAGTGGCCACTGAGTGTACATTATGTAGTGCATACATACAGTGATAAAACGCATAAGAGCCAAGCCTCATTATACACAGACGCTGAGCCATCACAAAGCCCCTCTCTCTGACTACAAACTGTCCTTTTGTCAGTGACAAAGCCCACAAAATGCTTCATAGATTCACCTACTCTCAGAGGAAATGCTCTTGGATCACAAAATAAAAAGGATAATTCAACAGTTCTGTCTTCTTTCCCCCCTCTGTTCTGTAAATTACAGACAACCAGTCTGACTCAATTAGGGCGACTCAGAGAAATGGCTTAACAGTGAAAATGTGGGGTCAAATACAATACAAATTACCTTAAAATTAGCTCGTCCCACCACATACATCTGACGATGATTAAAAAAAGAGCTTGAGCAGTTTCTTTTGTCAGATGTTCATAAGTGCCTATTACTTGTGCCGACATAAGCTTTCATACGAAATGTTAAAATTCTTGTCAACTTTTTGGCCAAGAAAGAAGAAAAACATCTGCTTTTATATTGAGACAGAAATTATTCCAACAAGAGAGAGGAAGACAGAAGGGGGGGAGAGATGAAGTTCTGGCTTAAGGTTCATTAAGAGTTCATCAGACACCACAGACATTGTCAGGAATGTCAATGACACTGATGGTCTGCATTGAATATACTGATTGTAAGGATATCCTGAGGTAACTTTCAGACCGCAGAATGACAATTAACCACCTGGTCTCCAAGGACCAGCAGAGGGCTGTGGGTGGGGGGGCGACTTCTAATTAAACACCAATATTGAAACCGATCAGACCTTTATTTTCTAATTTCCGCTTTCAGGTGCATTAGTTGAATAGTGCTGTGCAGGCTCTTCAGTAATGGCCAACTCATGGGCCAATCTATCCTATTTAATCCTGATAAAACACTGTGTTTACACTTCAGTTTCTATATTGCCTATGTAAACATTATGTAAACACACTTTTCCAGCACACCTCAGTCATGGAAGACAAACAATGATATATAGCCATGATTCATTTGAAATTAAAGTGAATTCTTGACAATTGCTGGTCCACTTTTTCCAGATCTTTAAACTGTATTACACAGTCTTCATCAGTGGATACAGTTAACTCAGACATGGAGATGGATCTGAATTCTAACAACTACTAAGCTTGCATGTGTCTCTATGACAACTGAGTATCCGCTCATGAAGACTGTGTGATGTGTCTGTGTGAAAAAACTCCAGAAAAAGCTGCTAATAGTCCCTGAGATGAGATGATTTGTTGAACCCGAAACCCTTAGTCATTATTATTTTACCTAGCGTATTCCATATTTGACCACAAATTGGCCTTTTCGAGGAAAACACATGGTTGTATAACAAAATGAAATGCTACAGCTCCTTCAGGCTACACAATCATAGCAAAAGGATAATTACAATAAAATAAACCAATAGATACAGTTATGTATATACATATTCAGGAAATATAATAATAATAATAGTAACTTCTAACTTAAAGTATGAATCTGTTCTCTGAGTAAGTAGCTAAATCAAATACAGAAGGAAGAAGGTTAAAGCATTGACAAAATACAGTTTCTAGTTTACTTTGTTGTCACAAAGAAACAGAAAAGCGCTTTGAGGCCAAATGAAAAAACTGAACCAGTCACAGTTAGCATAAGGAAATACAGTATATATATATCACTAAAGTGCAATCCATGGGCCCTCTGTGGTCCCTCATGTGCATCCAGCTCCGGTTTATGGCACTCATCAATCATCATTTCTCACAGTTCAGATGGTACAAAGGTTTGGTTCTATTTTTTCTGAAAGAACCCAAAGAAGTCAAACTTTGAAAACCCCTGCAGGTGTAAGGTAACACTTACTGCTGTTTTGAAGACATTTCCAGATTGTTTAGAGACTACTCTACCCAACTGGAATGATAAATGGCCTGTCTGCTGCACATAAAAATGATTTTTAAGCCATTTCCAGTCTGGTGACTATTTTCTTCAGGCAAACAAAGATGGTACCTCCCAGTGACTTTTCTCCTTGCTTTTATGTGTTGTTAGAAATAAAAAAACAAACGCAAAATGATGAAAGATGACATTTGTTTGGATAAATTATCATGTAAACCAACATGATGGTAAACAAAACAAGCAGCCAGGAAGATGCGTCACTTACCAAATTGGTTTGGCTAATCAAGACGTGTGGAAATGTTGTTTAATGTACATTTAATAGAATATTTTATTGTATTTATTTGTCTTTAAGTAAACAGAAAAGCCTTCAGGCTGGGGTAAGTGTTGTCAAACAACCTGCTGGGTTCTTCAAACTTTGAAGGAAACCAATTCTTAGCTATCCTTAACATCAATGCCAGATCCCCATATGGAAAAACGTTGATCATGTGAAAGGCACAAACTGGGTGCTTGAGAGGCAACACAAGAGAATCTTGATAACATAAGACACAACAGATGATATGAATACACCGAATGAGTAAATTAAATGAATAAATGTCACTTTTCACTCAGTGGGTCTCACCCCTCTGGTTTCATTACCAGGCAGCGAGCTCCTGAAAACAAACCAAAAAACAAGCTGAGTCTTGTATGGTGGGCTGCAACCTCTTCCCAAAAAATGAAAACAAGTGCTGTCTTAGCTCATCTTTATTGCATTTAATTCCCGAGGACTGTGGAGACATTTGTAGCAGATAATATCTCCCAGGATTAAAACAAGCTCATTTCCCTCCGGGTGTGTGTGTGTGTGTGTGTGTGTGTGGATGTTTTTTCTAACGCACAGAGCCACTCAGACCTCTCTCTCCCCTTTTTGTCCAAACGGCTTAACCGTGTTTTGATAAGCCGCTGTGAATATCCATCAAGAAACCCGACCAGCCCACTCTCTCTCTCTCTCTCTCTCTCTCTCTGTGTCTCCCTCCCCTCACCTCCCCTCCTCGCCCTGCCCGCACTATATGTTACATTTCCAGACCTCTCCTCTCGCTGTTTTTACGCAGGCGGGCGTCCACAGCACAGCGACACAAGTGCGAGCTACAGGCGACTGAGAGAGAAGAGAGAGCGAGGCACTGCACGGCACGGCACGGCAGACAGACGGACGGACGGCGGGTACCGGAGCGACGACGCGGCGGTGTGTGTGCTGCCTGTCTCTTGCTGGAAACCGGCGGACTGGATGCTGGATTCTGTTTATTCTCTGGATTTGGATCGGGGGCTAGGATAACTTCGCATGGGACAAAAACCCGCCTTCTTTCATGTCATCCACCGATTTGTTTCGCCCGGCGTGTTGACGCCAGTGGAAACGGGGTTGGGGGGGTGGGGGAAACGGGAGGGCTTTTTTTTTTTTTTCCTCCTTCCCATTTCTAGAGGAGCGCAGTTGACAGATAGGCGACATGAACACACACGCGTTCCCGTCCACCAGCTGTACAGGATAGATGCACATTAAAACGGCTTGTGGTTTCTCCTCTTTTACCGTGATTTCCCGGAGCTCGTAATGCAGCAACGTGGGTCGGCATAAACGGAGACAAGGAGGAAAAAGATGCTCTGCTGCACGCTTGAGGTTTTGCACCGTAGGGCAGTGTGTTATTGACGATTATTTGTTTGTTTGTTGTTGTTGCACGGCGTGGAATAATGCATCGAGACACAACTTTGTTCCCAGGCCTGTTAGACTGCAAGACGTTTCATTATCTCTCATAAAAAAAGTGCATTTATTTGTTAGCCCCGGCGCATGCTATAAGTAATCCTGTTATTCTTGAACATAGCTCAGCGCTTCAGTGAACGCCAGTGCCATTTAATCTCACCCCCCCGGAGCCCTGTGCTGTTTTATGATTTCCATTTTTAACACCCCCCCCCCTAGAATCCCGCAGTCTATATTGATGTCAGAGGTTTTTGCGTTATGTAGAGAGGAGAGAGCTCTGGAGTTGTGTTGCCAGATGATTGGTAAATTGTTGATGTAGGCAGGCCTAACCTCCGTTTATGCAGATCCGATCGATAGCGAGATAAAGAGGGCTCCGGCAGGCTGTTTGTGCCACTCTCCTAAGTGTCACGGGGGTGTGTTTTTAAAAGCGCGCATATCTAGTTGTTGTGTTTTATCCCACGTGCCCATAAGCAGCAGAGAGAGAGAGAGAGAGGGGAGAGGGCGAGAGAGAGAGAGAGAGGAGAGACTGTCAAACCCGCTGTGCAGTCTCGGAGAATATTACTGTAAGGCAGCGTCTCCAGAAAAAGTTTCAATGGTTTTCCGAAAGTTGCCCGGTGTGTCGGCATCGGGCATGGGTCTGCGCCTGTCCCAGAAATTCATGTTTCTGCTCTTTCTCTCGGGTTTGGTAACACTGTGTTTTGGGGCCCTTTTCTTTTTGCCCGACTCTGTCCGGCTAAAGCGCATTTTCCTGTCCAAGACAGAGACCCAGCCGGTAACGGTCGGCTCCGGGTCCGAGAACGATGCCAGGGAGCACTTAAAAAAGCCCCGCGACCAGGAGCATCCGCGGGGCATGACCTCGGCCAAAGGAGAGACCAGCACCAAGCTGAAAACTCTGAGCCGCAAACCGTCCGTCTCTCATGAGGCGACCGAGGAGCGGCTCGCCGGGGGCAAAGCGCAGGAGGATTTCACTCTGCCCAGGTCCAAAGCGGAGTCCGCCTCGGAGAGAGCCACCGCTTCTGACCGCGGTGCCACCTCGGATACTTTCAGTTACGCGAAGTTCAAGGGCTGCCTGCTCAAAGCCCCGCTGGGGAGAGACAACGGCAAGCCCAGCGACCCCAGGACCGACGAGCGCCGGGAGAAAGTCAAAGAGGTAAGGATGTGTGTGTGACCCCCTGCAAGTGGGTTTGAGGCTACTGACACATAGTAGCCTCACGGGTTATGTGGAAGTACAATAATGATGTAGCTGTTATACGGGAAATAGAGAATGGGGTAAAAAAACAGGAAGTATATTTTTGGGGGTTGAACCCAGGACAGATGTTGATGTGATCATGTCTAATGTATCAACATTGCTCGAATGATTTCACATGCTTCCACTTTCTCCACGAAATAGTCTCTAAACTGTTTCATTTTAACGTTTCTGTGGCTTCACAGAGCAAACAGGGAGCGTGTGTTCATGCTGTCAAAACACAACAGATAAATAGCAGTCTGGCTTATTCAGTTATAAAAGAAAGAAGTAATTACATTTCCGTTGCTGAGTTTGATTTGTCTGACAATACAGAAGATTCGTCTGTGGAAGCAGTGGGGCAGTTGTTTGCCAAGCTCCTGTCAAACAGACAAAATAAACCCCTCTCAATCATGTCAGTTGTCTAAATTTACCCAGGGCCTTTGGAGAACATCGTCAGGACTAAAGATAACTTGAATGTTTCCGGTGTCTGCAGATGAGATTACATGAAGTCTAATATTCTAAAGGATCAGAAGGAGAACATAAAAGTGTGTTCAAAGGGACTAAATTGATGTAACATTTTAATAATCTGTTCATGGGACATAGCTGCACTTTCTTACATCATTGTTTTATAAAATAATCTTATAAAAATTCATTCTGATAAGTGGCTTGTGTGCATGTAATAATGTGAAATCTCAAGTTTTCAATATTAGCGTTACGTGAACGGTTAAACTGCACCGCATCAGGTCATTGTGAGCGATAAAATGTGCTGCATTTAGCTGAGGCACCTCTGTCCCTCTCACACAATCGCCTGCAAATGGTGCGACTGTGTGCACTGACACTTTGGCCAGGAGCTCTTCAAGCTGTGTGCCAGCCTTTGTTGCGCCCTGTGGGTCCAATAAGGGCTCCAGAGTGGGAGCGTCTGTGGATCACACATCTGTACCCACTCAAGGCAAGTGAGGCTGCTGAGGAGGAGGAGGAGGAGGGAAAGACTGTGAGAGGGGGGAGGTAGCGGGGAAGCCATTGGCCAGCATGTGCAGATGGGTTTCAGCCCTGGCATGTGACACAGATAAGTCCTGTTGTCACTCTCACTTCCAGCCTGCTGTCACTCTCTCACGCTGCTCACATGCCTTTCATACCTAGAGGTGATGTGCTACATGATAACTGAGGCGTCAGAGGACGGAGAGGGTTATTAGCCCCTGTGCACTGAGCCCTCAGTGACTCATAGCTTCTCCTTTTTTGATGCTCTTTCAATTCAAGTGAATGTCAGTGTGACTTCGCTTGTCTGGTCTGTTCAGCTGAGCTCTGCAAAGTTCTTGCCTCAGGGTCACGATTGTCTGAGGAAAAGTTATTTTTTCACCACGCCCTCTTTCCCCAATTGGTGTGGCAGAATATTAATTGCGTTTCCTTGAGTGAAGACCTTTTTATGAAGGCGCTGAAGAACACACAGGCTCTGCTCACTTGCACTCTGCTTCTTTGTCCATGTCCATGTCCACGGCCTGGTGTGTGCTTTTGTGGTTTGCTATTGTTGTTTCAACAGTGTCCACTGTCTCAAGCCTGCTGGCACAGATCCAGACGGCTTCTCTTTTTCATGGAGGCTCACATTCATGCTGCCAACACAGGCTGACACATTGCACGCCTGTGCTTTGTCCAAGGTTTACAGATGTAGAACCAATGAGTAACTGTAACAATAAAACTCGCAACACTAACATGTTTTGATGGGTTTTTTTTAAGGATGTTTTGATGTAGCATTAAATATCATACAGAATGAATTTTTTTGTTGTCATCTTCCCAGCCCGTGTTGTGGTGTACAGACAGAGCAGCTCTGTAAAAGCAGTCTTTTTGTTCACTGTAAGGGAAGGCAAAGAGAGGGTCTCCCCCCCCCGCTTCCAAAGCCAACAAAAAGGGTCTGGTGCCTCAATGCCCAAACTGTGAATGGGCATCGTTTTTCTCAACTGCCAACAACTAGAAAGCAGACTCCCCACCTTCTTCCTCTGTGTGTGCACCCACTGCCAAGTGAGGGTGAAACTAGGGACAATGACAGTCTGATCACACAAGGCACATTTTTGAAGGCAGCCCACCCCTAGCTAAGCCCCCCCACCCCCCACTCCCAAGAATACCAGCAAATACTGCCAAAGCCATGGTGCTGTTTACCTATTCCAGCTATGCCCTGTTGGTGGACGGTTCATTCTCCTCCAAAATTCCTCAGCAGGATAAAGATGAGAGTAATTTTCAAACAAGCCTTTTATTTGTAATTCTGTGATGTCATGGCTTTCTGAGTCGCCCGCGCGGCTCTGTTGCTGCCTCATTGGCTCCGACATAAGAGGCTGGATAGCAGGGATCGCACCACAAAAATGCGCGCCTGGGGCAACACGGGGGTGTCCTTTTCTGCATGCACATTTTGTTGCTGATGTCCTTAACATTCACTAAGGTTAGAACTTGGGAGTGCGGTCTTAAAATACTGGATGCGGAGCACAGAAGTAGCATGCCCAAACAAACAACTGCAGAGCAAAGAGGACATCTGAGAATGAAGGGGAGCTCTGTACCAATCCGAGACGGAAACCTCCATATCTCTGTCCTCTGCTCGTCTCCACAACAACACATACATCAGAAGAAGAAGTGTGCATTAAAAGACAGCCTCTATACAGCCGGAGATTTGCTCTTTCCCTCGTCTGCTGAATTTTGAACAGAGATACGCCTGCGCAGTCAAATGAGGGCCCTTGCTTGTGGGAATTGGGATATGCTGTATAATGTGGCCTCTAACATATGATGCATTCACATGGGGAGAAGTTCGCGCAGGGAGGAGATACAGCTAGGAGTACTGCAGTGAGAGCACAGACACTGCAGCTTCTCGTGGCAGTCTCTCCTCCAGTGGAGCAATAAAAGTCTTCAGGGCTTCTTTGTCCTGTGTGTGTGTGTGTGTGTGTGTGTCCGCTAACTGTGTGTGTGAGCACTTGATGGCTTATATAGATGATTATCTAGATGCTTGGGGATGAATTTGGAGTTTAACAGTTTCACTTGGAAGGGTTGTCACTGTGTTTATCCATCCAGTACTGAGGCCCACCTGCATCACTGTGTAGACTAACAACAATCAAACGAGGTACATCTGTTCGGTTTTAAAGGAAGTCTGTTTAATGGTCAGCCGCATGTGTGTCTGTCTGTAATCCAGAATAATAAGCAGTATGTTGGAGAAATGGAAACCCCCTCTGCTATTTGGGAAATAAAAAAGATTTCCAAACAGAGGATTAAGAAGCACATAACAGTGTAATCCACAAACCGTACAAAAAGTGCACAAAGCTGTTTAAACCATTATCAGTTTTTTATTTCACTTTACTGAAAGACTAACCGCAACAACACTCTCCTCATCTGCTTCCTTCATCTTTTTAGATGAGTAAACAGCTTTTTGGAGACATTTTGCCGAAATTACCTTTAGTGTTTAAACAGAAAACAGAAACAAAAATTCCCAGGTTATTTGCACCCTTTCACTTTTAGTTTTGAGCTGTTTGCTTCCAAATAAAAGGAAACTGAACATTATGATCTTAAATAATTTATTGCTTGAGAACTTGAGGAAAGCTGACTTTATGTGGGTTTCATTTCCGAGCTGCGGAGGGCAATTTGTCCAGGAGGTCAGAGGTCAGGTTCAGCTAAAGAACAGCAACTACAGAGCAGTTGCTTGTTATTCAGAGACATTTTATGGAAAGTTTTTAGTCCAGTTAGAAGGATAGTTAGGTGTCTCTTGTGTCGGTGCCATGAATTTAAATGTTTGATTAAAAACACAGTTTAGTGACAGGTTTAAATTTTATTTTATTAGCTCTTGAGACACAGCCCACTATAGGAATTTTAGGTTAAAGTCAATTTATTCAAAAAAGCTACGGGCGAATTGTGTGCTTGGGAGTGCCATAGAGAGTATTTCTTGTGTTAGGAGAATCGCTAACTGTGACAAATATCAAAAGCTTACTATAACAACTGAACTGCCACATAACACAAACACACACATACAAACACACAAACCTAACACAAAGCTTCAGGAATAGGTGAGCTTGTAGCCGGACCTGAAATCCCCTTAAAGCAGTAATGAGCAGTGAGCTGGGTGTCTGTCTGAATAAAATGCCGCCGTTAAGCCAAGCGCCTCCTGGCCGGCTCTGAGAACCGTGACCTCCCTCCACCTCTCATTCCTCTGCTGTCTCCTGCTACGAACCAGGTGTGCCAAACAACCTTCAGTCTTAGCCAGGAAAATGGCCGCCCGCTGAGCGAGAAGAAAGAAACGGAAGATGAACAAAGTCTTAAGAAAAGGCTCACACTCTCCTAGCGCTCCCACAGAGCTGGAACATTTGTGCTTTTCTTCTCCTCTGTGGATGCTGTGCAAATGTCAGCGGCTGGTGTTTGGAATATGAACCCATCGTTGTCTTTGGTCTGTTTATGCGGGGGAGTGAGCCGCTGGGCCTGCTGGGTATTGATATATTGTGCAAGTCAATGACAAGCTGAGGCAGATATTATCAACCTGTCAATGCTGCCAGGCATTGATGCAGCCTTTACTTCCACACAGCAAGAAATTGACCCTTTGATCTGCTTTCTGAGACGTTTGTGCTCATTTTACCCGTACATTCGAGGTATTCAGGGGGTTTTTACCCAGGGCTACTTAGAGTAATTGTAATATCAGAGTAACTTCCCACGTTGGTTTACATTACATTCACATTACAAACCACATGGTGTTCTACTTTTACTGTAATTGCAGTTCTCAGTCATAATCCTCTCTCTCTCAGAGTTAGGCACATTAACCAACCAGACTTCATACACACTTCTAACCGCAATGATCTCAAAACGTCATATCGCCCAGAATGTAGTGTAGTGAAAGACAACAACAAAGGCGGATGTTTACCAGGAAGTATACTTAAGGAAATGTAATTGGAAGGACAGTCAAATAAGCC